TCCCCCTCCTCCTCCTCCTCCTCCTCCTCCTCCTCCTCCTCTATCCTCCTCCTCCCCCTCCTCCTCTTCTCCTCCCCCTCCTCTCCTCCTCCCTCCTCCTCCTCATCCTCCCTCCTCCTCCTCCTCCTCCTCCTCCTCCTCCTCCTCCTCCTCCTCCTCCTCCACATTTGAGCACCGTCAAACCGATCCTTCTATTGGCCAGGGTTTCTCAGCGCCACCAGCCTACCCGCTCGTGGTGGGGATGGATGCCGCGAAATCAGATGAAGACGACGTCTATGCCCACCTAGGGAGTTTTGGCCGGACAGCAAGCCAAAGCGTTCCCAGTGGGCATGGGGAGAAATAGGTCCAGCGATGCTCCGCATCCTACTCCTCCTGCTGCCCAGCACCTCTGGTGGGACAAAAAAGGGTACAGCTGGAACTGAGACAGGATAAGCATCCTTCAGAACATGAGACCCTCCGCTAGCCCAAACACACAGAACCCCAAAGGGTAACCTCCCCAGGATGCACAAGACCATCCAACAAGCACGAAGAACATCAGGGTACCCTCCCGCCGACCTCGATATTATACCTCGGTCCGACTGCAACGATACTGAGGGGCAACGATAGGGGGGGACTGGCATAAGGGGGGGGATGCATCGACCTGGAATCGGCGATACATCGCTGATAGATCGGCGATAGGCCTCCGATAGTGAATCCGCACCTTCCTGGGCAGGTTGGGGCTATTCAGTGGGCGATTGGGGGTCGATGCATACCCCCCTATGCCTATCCCCTCCTATCGTTGCCCCTGAGATACCGCTACTCCCCCAGCCTCTCCTGGGGTGCATTCTGACCAGAACGTCGAGGAGAATCCAGCCTTGGCGACCAGCACCAGCGGCGGCATCGGCGTCGCTCCCTCCTCCGACCCTCCCCACCTTACAATCTCTCGGACGTCCCCTCCTCGTGCGATTTTTCCGGCCTCGTGCGCGCCTAGTTTGCCAGATCATCCAGGATGCTCCTCGATGGTCCTCGCCGCGCAAGCATGCACACGTCCGAGCGATGCAAGGCCACCCCCCCGGGCCCCCATCCGCGGCCTCCGCCAGCCGGTCGGGGAAGGCAAAGACGGAGACCACGAAATGGCCGGCCTCAAACCCCTCGTACATCGTCAGGCCCCTGCAGGCGCCGTCTCCCGTGAGCGGGGGGCCGCTCCCGCGCACCCCGCGGAACGGCGCGCGCGCGCGCCTGGCCCCTCCTGGTCATCCTGCAGCGCGCCGTCACAATTCCGCTCCCCCAAGAGATCCTCCTCCCCCTCCTCCTCCTCCTTCCTCCTCCTCCATCTCCTCGTCGACGTCGTCGTCGTCGTCATCGCTACCACCATCACCCATCCTCATCAACACCACCACCACCACCACCATCACCATCACCATCACCATCATCAGCATCAGTCAGCATCAGCATCAGCATCAGCATCAGCATCAGCATCATCATCATCATCGTCATCATCATCATCACCATCACCATCATCATCATCCTCATCCTCATCCTCATCCTCATCCTCATCCTCCTCCTCATCATCATCATCATCATCATCATCATCCTCATCCTCATCCTCATCCTCATCATCATCATCATCATCGTCATCATCCTTATCCTCATCCTCATCCTCATCCTCATCCTCGTCCTCATCATGGTCATCATCAGCATCTCCATCACCATCATACATCTCCTCCTCGTCGACGCCGTCGTCGTCGTCATCATCAGCGCCAGCGGCCTCCTCCTCCTCCTCCTCCTCTTCATCCTCCTCCTCCTCGTCATCATTATCAGCATCATCAGCAGCACCATCATCAGCAGCATCACCACCACCAGTACCATCGTTAGCATCAGCAGCATCATCACCATCATCACCATCAGCAACACCTGCATAAGTGTCATCATCGTCATCATCAGCATCATGAGCAGCATCTGCATCATCATCATCATCATCATCATCATCATCATCATCAGCATCATCCTCATCCTCATCAGCATCACCATCATCATCGGCATCAGCACCATCATCATCAGCATCCTCCTCACCATCGTCGGCAACATCATCGTCATCATCACCATCTCCATCACGATCACCAGACCAGCATCAGCATCAGCATCAGCATTACCTTCATCATGTTCCCCATCATCATCAGCAGCATCAGCATCACCATCATTAGCATCAGCATCAGCATCAGTACCATCACCATCACCATCACCATCATCACCATCATCACCATCATCATCATCGTCATCATCACCATCCGCAGCATCATCACCATCATCATCATCATCATCATCATCATCATCATCATCATCATCATCGCACTCCCCGAGTCGCCAGAGGTATTCCACGAGTCAAAGAAAACCACACCGAAATTGCATTGCATGAGGCGCACGCGCGCACTCACGCAACGGCCACTATGAGCTCCCCTACGTGATCCTCCCAGTCCCTCGCAGCTAGTGGAAGGAGCTCGCCTGGCGCCAAGCCCCGCGTCGCACATACTTTTCGGGCCGCGATCTCATTTCGAACGGGGTCACGAATCCCGTTCTTATCGTGGATCTGGGGAAAACGAAATCCCTCAATAATCGACACATAGACTTCTGCAAGGCCGCAATGCCGCATCTTCAGCGACCTTCCGTCTTGGTATTCCAATTACGGTCTCACCACGAAATGCTCCCAGAACAAAAGATTCCGCCGACCCTGTCGGCGTGTAGAAGAGGCTGTTCCATTTAACTCGTGGTCGTCGTCGTCGTCGTCGTGGTCGTGGTCGTCGTCGTCGTCGTCGTCGCCTTCGCCGCTCCCCTCCCTTTTCCTCATTGAGTCGAAGGGAAGCCCCTTCCCTTCGATCCCTTCCCCGCCGGGGAGGGTCCCGGGGGGGGTTCCAGGGAGAGGGGTGTCCCGGAGGGGGTGCCACCCAGATACGACCCCTCCCTGTGCGGAGAAACTCCCAGGAGGCACCCAAAGGGTCCTAAGAAGCTCCCCGACAGGCCCCAAGAGGCCCCCGAAAGACCCCCAGGAAGCTCCAAGAGGCCCCCACAAGGCTCCCAAGCGGCCCCTAAGCGGCTCCCAAGCAGCCCCAACGAGGCTTCCAAGAGGCCCTGAAGAGTCCCCCAGGACGCCCCGCCGAGAGACCCCACAAGGCCCCCAAGAGGCCCCCAAGAGGCTCCCAAGATGCTCCTAAACTGTCCCCCAGAGGCCCCCGAGAGCGCTCCGAAGAGACCCCAAGAAGCCTCCATGAAGACTCAGACCCATGTCAGCATCGTCGTCGTCGCCGCCGCCGCCGTTGTCGTCGTTCCCTTTCAGGGTCGGCGGCACCGGCCGTAAGGCCTTCGTAATCATTTAGAATCAGCAGACAACTCGCCCCTTGGCCCCCAACCCGTCCCACGCCAAGGGGCGAGCAGATATTCGGGCGCGGCACCGCGCTGGATGTGTGGCCATTAACTGGGCGTATCAGGCGAGAACCCAATACTTCATCGCGCGGAATAAGGGTGCCGACGCCGAGCACAAAGCCACTCCCCTCCCTCCTCATCCTCCCTCCGCCTCCTCCTCCGTTCATTTACCACCGCCACCCTTCCCAGTCATCCGTCATTCTCGTTCTCCTCCTTCGCCCTTCCACCCCGCCTCCCAAAACTGCCATCGACATATGTTGCCCCCTGCTCTAAACTGCCAGCGAAATATCCTCACCGCCCTGCCCTAAATATCTTCACCCCTGGCGTAAAACTGCCAGCGTCATATCAGAACTCCTCTGGCATAACATTGCCAGCGAAACATCCTCACACCTCTGGCGTAAAACTGCCAACGAAATATCCTCAACCCCATGGCCAAACACCTCCGTTCAAATATCCACGAAATGTCCTCAGCCCCCCTGGTGCAAAATTGCTTGCCAAATATTATCACCCCAATCTGGTGCAGAATTGCCAGCCAAATATCCGCACCCCCTAGCAGACTGCCAACGCAATGTCCCCACACCCTGGCCTGAATCTGCCAGCGAAGTATCCCAAACTTTCGGAGATAAAACTGCCATCTAACGGCTCGGGTGACTCGGTCAGTTTAGTAAGCCTGATCAATTCACGACCATCTAATCACGGGCTGCGACCGCACTACAAAAGCCACATTCTTATGACGGTCTCAACCAGAAATGCTCTGAGCAAGAAAATCTCGCGCAGGCCACGAGGGGTTCTTAGAACGTGCGCTCGTGGGCCTGCAGGCGGGCTGGGACGCCTCGCCACTGCTTGAGCACCCGACCGACCTACTCATCCACCCCGCTCGTCAACGCGCCGGATACGACGGCATCAGTATGCCCCTGTGGCCACCGTGGGCCCCTTCTGGGGATGTCCCCGGTGCTGGGCGAGGGCCTCCTTCGGGCACGCGGCACACCCGCGCGAAGACTTGGCCGACCGACGTCGTCCGCCTCCCTCGCTGCTCTCATCCCACCTCCGCCTCAAAACTCGCTGCTGCGAATTGTTTCGGCGCACGGTTCCGCGCTCTCATCAACCGGGACAACCGAGACATGGCGGGTCAGCGAGCACAGAGCAATAAAGCGAAGACAGCTCAAACCGCCCGTGAGAAGGGGAGAAATGGAGGTGCAGAGGCGACGGATGCCTCTGGGTTGCCTGACCGAAGTTGTGGTCGGCAGCAGGGGCACGCAGTAGCGGGGAAAGGGTCCTCCACACTCCCGCCCCCGCCTGTGACCCCCGCCTCCCTCTCCTCCAGGGTGGGGACCTGCTCTCAGGTAGTTGGGCAGGTGCTGAGTGTGGTTCCGCTCGCTGAAACAGCGAAGAACCCCCGCATCGTGGAATAAGGCTGAAGCGAAATTGAATAGAGGACCCACCGACCCACCGCTTCGCTGTTTAGGAAAACCCGAGCGCGACAGCCTCGCTCTCTGGACTGCTTAGAAGCACTGTTGGCCTAAAATAAGCAAGCGCCATTACGACAACATGTCCTAGTTAGGTGCTCCCCAAACGCGCAACAACTGCGGGGGGATGGGGAGGGGGGGGGCACTCCCGCAAAAAACAAAAAAACACGCGCGCAACTCCCACGCGCAGCGCGCGCGCAAGCACGCACCATAATACTCTAAAGCCTCCGCTCCCCCACCTCCCCCAGACTAGCAGAGTGCTGAAAACTCTGGAAGTGGTAGAGGTAAATGGGGGGAGCTAGAGGATAGTGATTAAGAAGGAAGGATAGGGAAGGAAAAGAGGGGCAAACAAGAGGTTCGAGCACTCAACAGCAGACCGCTAGCGATGGGCATCCAAGGCAGTGGGATGCGAGTGCTCTCTTACCCTCTCACCCCTAGCTGTCACTCCACGCTGCTGCCCATCACAACTGGGTGGCAACGCCATTCGGTTCGCGTGCGTTTCCTCCTGAATCTCCAAGTGCACCGTGGCGCCAGAACTGGTCGCGAAGGACATGGCCACCCGGTCCTGGCTTATGTGGCCCTTGGGGCCTATGCGACCCAGATAGGATTCAGCGTCATAAGGCATGTCGTAGTTAATGAGCAGGCTCGGCCTGATGGTATCTGATGTTAGGGCCCGAGCTTCTGCCGATGCCACCAGGATGCTCGTAGCGGGCCCAAAGCTCTGCGCCACCTCTTGGATTGAGCCGCCCGACTCGGAGTCGGGACCGGAACCCCCATCATAATAGATGGAGCGAGCGTCAAATTTGAGCTCCCGAAGGATTTCTGACAATGCTACGGCACGCCTGTTCGACTAAACGAACGCGACCGCCCGATAACAAGATGTAGAACGAAGGACTTGTATCAACTTCGCATTCTTCTCGCGCTCTGAAACCGTGACACGGTGCTGCGAAAGATGGTCTGCGAAAGGGTCATGCTCCTCCTCAGTCTGCGTGGTCGTCACCTCCTCTGTGGGCCCATCGCTTCCCATCAGGCGCGGGGAGCACCCGAAATCCACATTGGTAAGCTGGATTTCTTCAGAACCTGGCCCAGCAGCCGACTGACCACACATTGACAGAACATCGGCTCGCGCCCCTACCATGATCGATTGCAGTTCGTGTAAGCGGTCCAAGATCCCATCGTACATGAGCGTGTCCATGTCAACCGTCTGGGCGCACTGCTCACGGACGTCGTTCCCGTTGTTGAAGACCTTGGTACGCATAGCGCTGCTGCTGTCGTTGACGCTGCCGTGGTTGGTGGTGTTCTCAAGCAGCTCCCCACCGCTCAGCGAATCCGCACAAGTGGAGGCAACATGTGCGTTCTGAACGGTCCGCCTGCCTCCTGGAGTGAAAGGAACGGGCTTGACCTTCGGATGCTCGTTGTCATTCAGATCCTTGACTACAGTGGCATAGAAGTCGCTGGCCCTCTTGTCCGTGATGTGGCGGGTGAGGTGTTACGCCTCGTCCACCATGACGATCGTCTTGCAGATCTTCCCGCTGAGCTTGCCATCGCGACGTAACTGACGGGCTGCACTAGCAATGCCCTCAGGGGAACCACCAACATGCTGAGCTAGCAGCCGCAATAGCTGGCCATGCATCCTGTGGAGCAGCTCCTCCGCATTGAGATGCGAATGGCTTTCCGTGGCTGCTACTGCTGCGGGTGTCCCTGTCTTGGCCGTCCGGCCTCGCCGAGCCTGCCTGGCCCAAGAAACCTTGAGCCACAATGGCTACGGAGCCACGCTCTCCTCCTCCTTCTCCTCCTCCTCCTCCACATTCTATCCTCCTCGTCCGTCCCACTCTCCCCCCATCATCCTCCTTCCTCCCTCTCCTCCCCCCTCCTCCCGTGCTCACCCTACTCCTCCCCTCCTCCATCCTAGCACCGCCTCCCTCCCAAACTCCCCCTCCTCCTCCGCCCTGACTCGCGACGTGCATCTGGCCTGCTTGCGCCAGCTGAGCCGCGCACGGCTACAGGAAAGAGGAAGCCGAGTCCGCCACACCAAGCCTTAACGAACCCGTCATGAGCCGAAACCACGGTGGGCATGGACTCCCAGCCTGGCAGGGAGCCGACGGCCACCAAACATTGGGCCCCAATCGAGTCGCTGAGGCTTCATGGGGGAATGCTTTCCGTCTCCCGAGGGACATCCCCACCTCCTCCTCCCCCTTCTCCCCCTCCTCCCCCTTCTCCCCCATCGTCGCACCCCCCAGACGTGTCGGTAGATCGTTCCCAGCGTTTCGCCTGAGACTTTCGGGAGCGGCCAAGAGGGGGGTGTCCAAGAGGGGGGGGTGCAAATCATGACCGGTGGCATGTGCGCGGCCCAGCGGGGGGGCCAGGGACGTAATGAAATAAGAAGAGGCGCCATGAAATCTGGGGAAATATCATGGCCCCCGCCATGATATCCACCCCCCCCTAGTCATCACCCCCCTCTTTTCCGCCCCCGAGACTTCCTTACAACTTACGATCCCGTCGCTTGAACTGTGTAATTGCTTCAAGGATGGAGGGTGGGACGTGCTCAGAATGGAGCTCTGCGCAAATTCGTATTCAAAGTTCGCAACAGCTTCAAGGATGGGGGGGGCACGTTCCACAGCTCCAAGGATGGATGGCTCTTCCAACAAGGATGGATGGCGGCTCCTCTTCCAGATGTGGCTCTCGCCGTAGCGCCGCGCGCATTCGCTGCAGAACGCTGCGGATCGTTCCCAGCATCTGGCTCGCGGAGAAGCGCCGCGCACGCTCGCCATGAATAGGGGGAAAACAAACCTACCTCGCTTCTGACCACCCTCGCTTCCAAGAGATACCAAGCGATGCCAAACGGACGGCCTGTACTGGTCAGGCCACTTGACGAGGAGGCGCGTGGTATGACTTGGCTTTTCCTGGAAGCGAAAGCGGGGTAGGTAATTTAATTCACGCTCGCCTTGCAGTTCTTCTTATGCCCAAGCATAGAGGGCAATTCTGCTTCAGAGCGGGGCCCTTGCCCTGGCGCCGCGCATATACTTCCACTCAGCAGCCACCAGGACGGAACACTGGCCACTCTCAGTCACCTGAAAAAAAAGTCCGCAGAGGCGGGGGTCCGATTCATTGAGCGACCTGGTCCGAGTTCGACGGAACCCGAGACCACCAATGGTCATCCGACGCCATCCGCGCAGAGAACTTCGACGCCATTTGCGCCCGATGTTGCGCCCGATGTTGCGTCCGATTGTGCGTCCGATGTGGGTCCGATTTGGGTTCGATATTGCGCCCGATTGTTTGTCAGATTATAACTCCGATTTGCGTCTGATCGGTTTCGATACTGAATCGAGACGAAAAAAATCTGACACGAAATCGGTCGCGAAATCGGGCGCGACACCGGTCGCGTCTGGGCGCGTTTCCAGGCATTTTTGTCGGACGCTCCTCTGAGCTAGCGTCTGCGCGGTACTCCGGGCAAGTTTGATGGCGCTGTCCTGGGCGCCGTTCTCGGCACTCTCCTGGGCCGGCCTGGGCGTTCGTCCCAGCGCGCCCCCGAGTGCTCCTGCGGGCGCTGTCCTGGTCGCCCCTAGCGCACCCTCTGGACACCAGGCGCGCGCCAAGTTTGTCGCGTGAAAACCGGCCCCCAAAAAAAATCTGAAGCAAATCTGCTCTGCCACCGTGGCGAGATGATGATCTATTTGCGAACCCGGAAGAGGATCCGCCACCGTGACTCTGGCACGAAGTGGAGTGCCCCAAGCTCATGCAGAACTGAGAGGAATGTGCTGCTGCTGCAGCCAGACTCGTAAATCTTGAAGGGCCCCGACCAGTCGTTTCCCGCGCCGGCCCGGGGTCTGCCAGAATCGCTCGCGTCGGCTGACCCACCCAGAAGGAGCCCAGATGGCTTCAAGAGGCCCCCAAAATTGTCAAAAAGGGCCCCAAGTCGCACCAAGATCGCTCCAAGACTGCCTCCAGACGGCCAAACAGGCCCCCAAGACTCCCCAAGAGAGCCCCAAGAGCCACCCCAAAAAGGCGCGAAGAAGCAACAAATCGTCCCACTCCCGTCAGGAAACGTATGTTTTGATGGGCTTCGACAACGTCCACAACGGCACATGAGGCTTCAAGAGGTGCCCAAAATGGTCAAAAAGGGCCCCAAGTCGCACCAAGATCGCTCCAGGACGCGCAAGATGGCCTCCAGACGGCCAAACAGTCCTCCAAGACTTCCCAAGAGAGCCCCAAGAGCCACCCTAAAAAGGCGCAAAGAAGCAAAACATCGTCCCAATCCCGTCGGGAAACGTATGTTTTGATGGGCTTCGACAACGTCCACAAAGGCACATGAGGCTCCAAAATCGCCGCAAGTTCGCGAGCTCTATCTTGAAATGCTTCGAAAACCAATGGTCCTGGAAAGAGATCAACACGCGCGCGCGTGGCAGCGAAGGCATGTGGGCCACATGGCACTGTTTGGGCCCATCTTCCAGGGCTCACGATATGGCTAGACGTTCCCCCGTCGCGCCGTTGCAGTGTTGTTCGCGAGAACAGGAACATGTGATGCATCTCGTGTGGACAGGTGAGAGCACAAAAAAGGGAACCCATGTGCGGCAGGGCAAGACACGACCACGCAAGTGAACTAACGAGGGCAAAATCCTGAGAGAACGAATCACCGAACATTCTTTTCTTGTTGACCGCAATCCCCGTTGGAAACCTGGTGCTGTACTTCGTTCTGGCCAAAACGAATGACGAACCGGAGCCCTCGCTTTCAACCTGCTCGAACAGCCAAGACTCATTCAAAAACAGCTGTATGAGTAAACAATGATGAATCTGGCGCGCGAACAGCACGAGGCTCTGACACAGATGGGACACCAGGAAACAGGGCCGAGGGCATGCACAAAACTGGTGAGCTCTGTCGAAAAGGCCGGGCCCCCCGTCCAAAGTGTGCGATTACACGCGTTCCGGGGCAGCGCAAGGTCTCAGGCAGGCCAAGTAGCCCCGTATGCCCTGTCCGAGGGTCAGGGTGCGCTCAAACCTGCCGAGCAACGTCGAAAGAGCAAAACGCCAACCGTCCAAGCTGTAATTACAAATTTGCCGACACCCTGGCAGCCTGCCGGGGGTCCCCTCACATGTGCGACATGGCATGACGCATTTCCGAGGACAACGTTATGAGAGAGCGAATCGCCCTGCACCACAGCACCCGTTCGAAACAAGGCTGCTGTACCCCGCTCTGGCTGTAACGAATGACGAATGAGTGCCCTCGCACCCAACCTGCTCGAACAGCCAAGACGCATTCAAACACGGCTACTGCCCGTGATTCAGCAACACGGCGCACGATGACAAAGACCGAACACCAGGGAGCCAGCCGAGGACGAGCTCCAGCCTGGTGAACTCCGTTGAAACAGCCACCCACCCACCCGTCTAAAGTATGCGATTACACGCGTTCCGGGGCAGCGCGAGGCCTCAGGCAGGACAAATAGCTCTCTCCAAGGGCCAGACTGTGTTCCTGCCTGCCGAGCAACGTTGTAAAAGAGCCAGGCGCCACCCGTCCAAACTGTACAAGTAGATGTGCTCTGGGGTAGCGCGTGGCTGACCACGTCACTCCTTGCACCCTCTCCAAGGGCTAGAAGATTTTCACACAAAAAAGCGCTCCAGAGCACTGTTTTTGAAGAGCCCTCCACCCTCTCCAAAAGGGTTGGAACGCCTAAGGTTAGCCTCTCCAAGGTTTCCCAAGGCTGAGCCTCTCACAGAAGACTGCCGAGGAGCAAAAAAAAAAACGCACTCGAGCTCCAGCACCACTGCTCAGATAGCCATGGCGACAGCCCCACCGAGCTCCAGAGCGAGGGGAGAGGGGGGGCCCCTTGTGCTCCCTCCACCCCCCTGGCTGTTTGCCGCCGCACCCACAGGCCTGGCGCGGCCAGAGCCCCGGAGCCTCAGCGACACCCGCGGTGGTAGCCGCCACACTGGCACGCCCCAGGCGCGGCCTCACGGTCGGCGAGGGCACCGCCCGCGGCGGCCCACGCGCGCGAGAGGCCAGCGACGACGGAGCTCCACGCGCCCTCAAGCGTCGCCGCGACGGCAGAGGCCGGCTCCAGCACCTGGCGGGGCGAGCCCAGCGCGTGGGACTGGCAGGCGCGGTGGTAGCCGCCGCAGCGGCAGGACCCGGAGCCGAGCGCTGCGACGCTCGGCGAGCAGCGGGCGCCGCCGGGCGCCGCCGCGGCGGGCGCAGGCCCCTCGGGCGCCCGCGCCGCGGGGGTGCGGTCGCCGCCCAGCCTGCACGCGCGGTGGTAGCCGCCGCACCCGCAGGCGGCCGGGCCAGCGACGGTGGCGCTGTCGATGCCGCCTGGCGCCGCCGCCAGCGGCCCAGGCGCGGGAGTGGCGCGCGCAAGGCCCCCGCTGGCCACTGGCCGGCAAGCGCGGTGGTAGCCCCCGCACCTGCACTCCGCGCCGCCCACCACGGCCTCGCTCAGCGGCCCCTCTGCCTCCAGCCAGGGCAGAGCCACCACGGGGAGGCCTTCTGGTGCCGCGAGGGGCCGGGCCGGCTCGAGGGGCGCCGAGTCGCGCAGCCGGCAGGCGTGGTGGAAGCCGCCGCACGCGCACACGCCGCCGCCGAGGACGGCCTCGCTGCGAACCCCGTTGGGCGCGGCGTGCCTGACAGCATGGTCGCACTCGTGGTCGGACTCGTGGTCGGAAGAAGCTGCAGTGGATGATGTGCTCCTGCTGTCCACGGCACTGCTCACCTTCGCGGGGAAATTCTCAACGGGCAGATCCATGTCCCGCATGCGGCAGGCCAAGTGGAATCCGCCACAGTTGCAGGCCGGCGCCGAGGAGAGTGCCATTGCTGAGGGGGGGAGCAACAACTGCTTCGAAGGCACCTGCAGAGAAGCTGCGTCACAAACAAATGCGCTCAACAGAAATCGCTTGAAATAAAACGGCCACGGAGCACATCGGCCGCCTGCGTGGACGACGGACACCGACTACCGGGTCCGCGAACACTGCTGGCGTGTGCAGGAGGTTTCTCGTTCAAAGGCTATTCCCCCTTCCACTCCCCGTGGCCATCCTGGCTGGGATCCCAGGCACGCCAGCCCAGAGGGCTGGTCCCAGAGGGCCCCAGGGGGTCCCACGGGGTGGAGGACGTCCCAGGGGGGCCGAACAGCGACTCTTCCTCAAGACGGCCCAAGTGCGCACCAGGAGGTCGCAAGGATGGGAGACAGCGCAAGAGCTGCCAAGAAGCCACAAGAAGCAAACGAGAGGCCCCCAGAAGTGGCCCAAAGGACCCAGGAGGACAATCCGCAACAGAGCCCTTCAGGCATGAGCTGGAGTGTCCTCGGGTCCCTTCTTCGATCCTCTGGAGCCTCAGTCTTCAATCCTGAAGACTCTTTCAGGGGCCTGGACCCGAAATTGCCAAATCTTCCGAGGCTTAGCACGTTTCCCCTGGGGATCCTGGAGTCTTCCCGCATGATTTTGTCGGGCCCAAGAGGGCCCGAAGATGGGCCAAGAAGGCCCCAAGAGGTATTCCAGACAGTCCAAGGAGGAGCCCCGAATCGCCGAACGATCGGTCCAAGACGCCCAAGATGGCTCCAAGACGGCCCAGGAGGCCGCACGACGCCTGAAGAGAGCTCCAAGAGCACTCCCAAAAGGACCCCTTGAGGTTCCAATGTTGATGACCGTGGTTGTTTGAAAGATTTTAGCGTTGTCGCCATTTCGGCTTCCCGACGCTCCAAGACGGCCCAAGTGGCCCCCAAGATCGCTCCAAGACCTCCCAAGAGGCCTCCAAGAGGGCCCAAAACGGCCCAAGAGGGCCCCGAGACGGCAAAAGAGGCGCCCAAGACGACCCAAGAGGCGCCCAAGACAGCTGTAAGAGGGGGGCCCGATGGGGGACCCGAACGAACATTTCAAACCCTCGGCCCGAGAGGCCCCCAGGAGGCCACCAGAAGTCCCGAGAGGCCCCCAAGAGGCTCCCAAGAGGCCCCAAAACTTCCCGAAAGCGCCCCCCGAGAGTGCTCCGAAGAGACCCCAAGAAGCACCCCTGAGAACTCGGACCCACAACCCAACGGTGGCGGGATGGGCCGAAGCCCACTAGATCCGCCGCCCCCTGTTGGCTTGCCACAGGGGTGCCCAGCGTGCTAAATCCTTTCGCTTTGGGTTCTTGTAGAACTCCCCCTGGGGCTTCGGCCCGTCTCGCCCGCCACCCGGAAGGGCGCGCAGAGATGCACAAGAGGTGGCTGCAAAGGGTGTTTCGCCTCAAGACGGCTCCATGATGGCCAATATGGCCTCCAAGACGGCCTGAGAGGGTCCAAGATACTTCCAGATACGCCCAAGAAGCCTCCAAGACGGCCCAAGACTGCCCAAGAGGTGTCCAAGAGGCCTCCAAGACTGCCCAAGAGGCCTCCGAGAGGTCCTCCAGGAGGGCCCGAAGATGCCAAAATCATTGATTGTCCTTCGGTTTTTGAGCGATGCTCGTATTTGCTCTTTGTCGGCATTCCGACGACCCAAGACGGCCCAAGAGGCCCCCAACATCGCGCCCCCAGAGACCGCCCAAGAGGCCTCCAAGATGGCCTCAGGACTGCCAAATAGGCACCCAAGACGGCCCCAAGATGACCCAAAGACGGCCCAAGGGGCCTCCAAGACGGCCAAGGAAGCCTCCAAAAGTGCTCTTAAGCATCCCAAGAAGGCCCTAAGTCGGCCAAGAGAGGCTTCCAAGGCGGCTTGCGACGGCGTCAGACGGGCCAGGAGCCCACCAAGACGGCCGAAGATGGAAGATGGCCTAAGAGGCCTCCGAGAAAGCCCCCAGGAAGGCCCGAAGAGGCCAAAATCATGGATGTCCCATTGTTTTTTGTAAGGGGTTTGGCATTTGCTTCTTTTCGACCTTCCGACGGCCCGAGACGGCCGAAGAGCCCCCAAAGATCGCCCAAGAGGCCTCCAGGATGGCCCCAGAGCGGCCCAAGAGGCCTCCAAAACAGGCCCAAGAGGGCCCTAAGACGGCCCGAGAGGCCTCCAAAACAACCAAAGAGGTCCCAAAGATCGCCCAAGAGGCCTCCAAGATGGCCACAGAACGGCCCAAGAGGCCCCCAAGACGGCCCCCAAGAGGGCCCAACGACGGCCCAAGAGGCCTCCAAGACGGCCAAGACAAGTTCCAAGACGGCCCTAGAGCATTCCAAAAGGGCCCCAAGTCGGCCCAGAGAGCCCCCCAAGACGGCTTTCGACGGCGTCAGACGGGTCAGGAGCCCACCAAGACGGCCGAAGATGCCCTAAGATGGCCCAAGACGGCCCAAGAGGCCTCCAAGAGAGCCCCCAGGAAAGCCCGAAGAGGCCAAGATCCTTGATTTCCCTTTGGTAGTTGAAACATTTTGGAATTCGCTTCTTTTCTGCCTTCCGACGGCCCGAGACGGCCGAAGAGCCCCCAAAGATCGCCCCAAGATCGCCCAAGAGGCCTCCAGGATGGCCCCAGACCGGCCCAAGAGGCCTCCAAAACGGGCCCAAGAGGGCCCCAAGACGGCCCAATAGGCCTCCAAGACGGCCCAGGGCCGTCAAGACGGCCCTGGAGCACCCCAAGAGGGCCCCAAGTCGGCCCAGTGTGGCCCCCAAAACGGTTTCCGATGACGTCAGACGGGCTGAAAGCCCACCAAGATGGCCAAAGAAGCCCCCGAGAAGCCCCCGAAGGCCCCCAAGAGGCCTCCAAGAGGGCCCCCAAGATGTCTCCAAGAGGCTCCCAGGAAGCTCCCAGGAGGCTCCAAGAGTGTCCCCAGAGGCTCCCAAGATGTCCCCTCTTCCTCCTCCTTCTATTCCTCCTCCTGCCTTCTCCTCCTCCTCCTCCTCCTCCTCCTCCTCCTGCCTTCTCCTCCTCCTCCTCCTCCACCTCCTCCTCCGCCCCCTCCTGATCTTCCCCGCCATCCTCCCCCACGTGTTCCCCGAAAGGTTTCCACAAAGGCTGGGGGGAACACATGATCCAATAGCTTGGAAGAGATCTTGCCACAACGCTCGGCCACATGGGCGATTCTAGAAGGCAGGGGGCGGCGTTGATTCGCCGTGCGCGTCTTCGATCCGCCGCCCCCTGTTGATTCATCACAGGGGTGCCCGGCGTGCCGAATCTTTTCGCTTATGGTTTTGTTCTTTTCCCACAAGAACTCTCCCTGGGGCTTCGGCCCGTCCCGCTGGCCACCCGAAAGGCCGCACAAGGCAGCATAAACCACCTCAACGACCTGAACGAATTCTCCAAAACGGCTCAAGATGGTCTCTAAGATGGTCACGTTGGCCCAAAATGGCATCTTTTTACTGGTTCCACTTTGCTGTTTTGTTGCCGGTTCCGACGCCGTTTTTTTACCGGTCCCGTCGCCGTTGTTTCACGGGTTCCCGCTCCGGTTCCGTCGCCGTTTTTTTGCCGTTTTCATTTTCAAGAGACACTTTTTCGGAAACGGTGAAAAAACGGCCCTGCCGTTTCCGGGGCCCACTAAGCAGTCAATTTCAGGTGGGACTCTCGCTTCAGCGCCGCGCGCACTGGTTATAACAGATTGCGTCAGCTAGAAGGAGGACGGATATGTTACAACACGGGGATCTCGCTCAAGACTTCTTCGGAACTCCTGATCGAAAAGAGCATCTCGCTGGACACCTCATTGAACTGTATGATCATCGTTTGCTTCACTCCCGATGGCGCGCCAGAAGGATGCGAGGCAGTTCCTCTTGACGACGGGACCCTCGCCAGAATGACAGGCAGGTATGTTGCTGGTCTGTCAAGGAGGGGGGCGCTTCTCGTAAGTGAAAGACGTGGGAATGGAAGGAGGATCACAACATCGCTGACGCAACTTGGGCTAAGCTTGGTCCTTATCCTCCCGCTTCTCCTCCTCCTCTTCCTCCTCCTGCTCCATCTCCTGCTCCATCTCGTCCTCCTCCTCCTCCTCCTCCTCCTCCTCCTCCTCCTCCTCCTAAGACGAAACCAGGACCAAGACATTGGGCACCGCGGCCTTCTCAGAACGTTCTGGAACGCTCCGAGAACGTCCCTGAACGCTCTGGAAAGATATATCCCTCTCCTAGCCCCGCTCTACCCTTCCGCCTCTTCTTGCTCCTCTTGCTCCTGTTGCTTGCTCCTGTTGCTCCTCCTCCTCCTCCTCCTCCTCCTCCTTCTCCTCCTCCTCTTCCTCCTCCTCTTCCTCCTCCCCCTAAGACGAAGCCAGGACAAAGACATCGGGCACCGCAGCCTTCCCAGAACGTTCTGGAACGCTCCGAGAACGTCCGTGAACGCTCTGGGACGATTTATCCCTCTTCTAGCCCCGCTCTACCCTTCCTCCTCCTCCTCCTCCTCCTCCTCCTCCTCCTCTCTCCTCCTCCTCCTCCTCCTCCTCCTCCTCCTCCTCCCTCCTCCTCCTCCTCCTCCTCCTCTCTCCTCCTCCTCCTCCTCCTCCTCCTCCTCCTCCTCCTCCTCCTCCTCCTCCTCCTTCTCCCCCTAAACCGAAGCCAGGACAAGGACTTCGGGCACCGCGGCCTTCTCAGAACGTTCTGGAACACTCCGAGAGCGTCCCTGAACGTTTTGGAACGACTCATCCCTCTCCTAGCCCCGCCCGACCCTTCCTCCTCCTCTTGCTCCTCCTGCTCCTTGTGCTCCTCCTCCTCCTCCTCCTCCTCCTCCTCCTCCTTCCCTTCCCCTCCTCCTCCCCCTCCCTCCTCCTCCCCCTCCCTCCTCCTCCTCCTCCTCCCGCCGCTGAGGCGAGCTCATCTCAACGTTGTACGTGAGGCTGAGCTGGTCGCGCACCCGGCCCAGCAGCCGCCCGTTCATGCACTCCGACATCATCTCGGTGGGCCAGGGTCGAGCAGGGGCCGAGCGGCACGCCGACGAGGCGTGGCGCGGCGCCGTGCCGGGGGCGCGGCAGGGACCCGACGGCGCACGCGAGGTCGCGACATGACGCATGGTCGTGAGCGGAGAGGAAGCGGGAGGAGGGGAGGGTGAGGGGGGGGGGAGAAGGGGGGAAGGGAATGTAGGGGCCAAACTCATGGGCAAGGCCCGCCGGAAGATCGCTCGGTGATCCAGGATGCTCCTCGATGGTCCTCTCCGAGAAGACTTCACACGTCCGAGCGATGCTGAATTTCCGCCACCCCCTCAAACGCCCCCTAAACGCATCAGATCCCACGCTACGCGTGCTTTTCGCCATCTGCCGCCCCTTGTGCTTGTCACAGGGCTACACGACGTGCTGGTTTTAGCTCGCCATCGCTCGGACGTCCATTCCCCATGCATTTTTCGGTCTCGTGCGTGCTTTCTTGCTCGGTGATCCAGGATGCTCCTCGATGGCCCTCGCCGAGAAGAAGCACACACGTCCGAGCGATGCCAAGGTGCTTGTCACAGGGGCACACGGCGCGTGCTGGTTTTAGGGCTGGGCTCAAGCCATTTTCTTTAAGATTGGCGGGTCTTGGCCGATCGCACCGGCCACCCGGCGAGCCGCGCAGAAGGCGGGAGGCAAGGCCCCCGCGCGCCCCCGAGACGGCCAAGACGGCTCAGGATGGCCTCCAAGATGCCTCCAAGAAAGCCCCAAGACGGTCCAAGATTCGGCGGCGGGCACGGGGGTCTGCGAAATGTTGCAAATCTTCCGTGAAGACACAGAAGGCTTCTCAGAACGCCGGAGGGCTTCTGAGAAGCCCCGCAGCCTTCTGAGAAGGCCTCCTCCTTCTTCACTTCCTCCCCTCGCTCGCCGCCGAAAGATGTCCTCCAAGAGGCCCCCAATACGCCCCAAGAGGGCTCAAAGAGGACCTCTGGGAGGGCAACATCGTGAATCCACCTCAAGTTTATCCATGGTTTTAGCGTTCTCGCCTTGTAGGGCTTTCGACGCTCCAAGAAGGGCCGTTGGCCCCCGAGATCGCCCAAAGACTGCACAAGAGACCCCCAAGAGCCCATCAAGACGGGCCACAAGGGCCCCAAGACTGCCCAATGATTCCTCAATGCGGCCCCATACAACATCAAGACGGCCTTAGACCACTACAATAGACCATCACCATAGACAAAAAAGGGGCCCAAGACTGTCCAAAGGGACCCCCAGATGCTCCAAAGAGTTCCCCAAGAGGCCCCAGGAGGCCCTCAAGAGGCCCAGGAGGCCCTGAAGAGGCCCCTCAGGTGCCCCCAAGAGGCTCCCAGTAAGCGCTCTGAGGCCCAAGGAGGGCCTAAAGAGGCCTCTTCTTCCTCCTCCTCCTCGTCCTCATTCCTCCTTTCTCTTCGTCTCCCAAGTGTTCCCCCAAGGAGTTCCCCAACGGTTGGGGAGCACATCGTCCAATAGCATTGCCAGACTTCGGCCCAACGCTTGGCCGCATGGCCATATCCAAAAGACAGGGGGCGGCGATGATTCACCGTAGGCGTCTTCGACAGCATCGAGGTGGAGCGCAAGAGGTCAGATGGTATGCCCTGGCAGGAGCGGCAACAATCGTAAGGCCCAGAACGATGTCGCCGAACCATTGCGCACAAGATCTGAACACAGAAAGACTCGAGGAACCGTATTGTTGCGCGTGTGTCTCGAAAGATGGTGGGCTCCAACCCGCAGCCTGACGACTCATTCTGCGTGCGCTGTAACCAGACGGCGTGACGAAACTGATCAACCACAAGACGGCAACTTCGTGTCGTGATGATTTCGGCGCTGATTTCTAACTCCGCATGGATCGTTCAACCTTGAACGATCGCGGCATTTCGATAGCCCAGATCGTTCGATGTCGGCACTTTCCGGACCACTGGCGGTGTTTCACCTCGAACGCCCGCGCTGGGGTCGCCACCGCGTCGGCACGACGCAAACCTTCCGTCCCCACGCTGTTTTTTACGACTGCAGGAACAACTGCATGCTCTGCCCATCTGGCAGGTTGGTCGGACAGTCATGGGTGCGCGCGCCCACAACATGACGATGTCGCCAATGACGAAGCAGAGGCGGCGCCGTAATGATCACCAGCAGACAACTGCGCTTCGACAGCACAATATGCGCCACGACCACACGACGGCGTAGCATGCCAAACGAGCAAGACGCCCAATCGTGAGCGGACGAACACGAATTAAACAGATGCAGGCCTCACGTTTTGGATACCTTTTCCGATCGGATGATTAAACTGGTCAAAAGGGGAAGCGTTGCCATCCCGTCCCATAATGTTTCACGTATCGACGCTCGGCGTACTTCATGGGACAATGTCCTTCGCGCAGCAAACGCATTTCTTTGCACCCTGTTCTGGCGGGATCTTCACCTGAGTGTAGATGCACAAGCACGTCTCAACAGACTGCATGCAAACATTGTCGCCGCTGCAAAGTCCAGCCGTGCACTTCGTCATACCATTGCCCGCACCGGGCCACTCGTTCTTCTCATTCAAGCCCATGGACCCCTCGACGATCAAGAACTTCTGGTACCCTGCAATCATCGGGCGATCCAAAGCCTTGAGACCGTTGCAGCCGTAACCGCCGCAGAAGATGTACGTGTACCACCAGGTGTCCCCGAATATCGCCTGGTATTCGACGTCTCCCTTCTTCTTGCTCATGCCGCCCCCTGGCACGAGGGGCGTGTTGAAGCAGACACACTTGGGCGCACCATCCACGGGTGGACACTGGCACTGCGCTGTCTGATTCATTTGGAAATTGAGGCACGCACAGAGGCCGTCATCGTTCATCAACGACGTCGTGTTGCAAGTCGCCTTCTGGGTCAGGTCTTCGACATCGGAGCCGCACAACGGGTCCTTCCAGTCTCCCCAACCGCAGCCTCCACAGCAGATGTAAATGAACCACTTGTTCTTCTCGATCAGGTCTGGCCCCTTCAGGTTCGCAGGGGGCTCCACCAAACCTGCCATCTCGATGGGACCGCGGTGATAATCTGGAGTTTCTTAGCTCAACGGTCGTGAGAGGACGGAAACAAACTTCGCTTCGGTCGGTCTTGAGCCAAGACCAAAATGGCTTGAATCAAACTTGATACGGACGTTGACTATAACTGCATCACAGTTTGAACCGTCCACGGCTGCCAACGGCAATGCTGGTGACGACCGCGACCGGCTCGTGCGTGGTCGGCACCACGGGCAGAAAAGCCTGCATATGCCTTCCTGTGTCCCCCCCTCTGGGGGATCATCATGCTCGACCCACGAGCCTGGGAAGGGATTCAGAACTGCGAGGCATGGAATTTGTTCAAGACACCACATTTGGGCGACGGGCACTTCCAATGCTCAAGGTAGCGATTGTGATGTACAGTGCCAGCGGCTGTGCTGTGCTGCGCTGTGCTGCGATGAACTGAGACGCGCAATACCGATTTGAAGTGCTGTGCTCTATTGAGTCCAACAACGCCCTCTGTGCTGAGTGGTTCAACGAATTGTTCTCAGTTCTCTGCCACAGCCCCTCCTTCCCCTGCTCGGGGGAGGGGTTTACAGCTCGGGCCCCAGGGGAGCCTGGCGCGCGTGGCGCGCCTGGCACGCGTGGCGCACCTCACCCCAGCGTCGCGCACATGGGCTCGGTTTTGGTTCCCAGTAGCTGTCCATCCAAATACGACCGCTGAACATGCTGAGGCTCGGGTGTTACTTATGTGTTGGGAGGGCCAGTGGGAGTGAGCTAGACGGCTTACTATACAGCCGTGACAAAAGTTTCTTCAATTTGCTATGATGAAGATCTCTCCCATCCCTCTCAAAATTCCTAACGTGACATGATGCTGAGGTCATTCGGCGGAGTAGTTTCCGATCCCGGAGACGTTAACAACTCTGTTACCCCAAAACGGGATCGGAAACTACTCCGCGCCAAACCATATACGTTATCGAGCGGGATGCGATTGCGCGAGGAGTAGTTTTAGCAAAATTACTCCGAACTACTCCGCACGAGCGCGTTATTCCAAAATGCAAATGGAAAGAAACTTTCGTCACGGCGATGGGGAAAATCTCAGTCCGTCCCGTCTTTCATGGCTTCATCCGATCAGGGCCCGATGCCGCGTCGATGGTGATGGCGATGAAGATGATGGTCATGACGGTGCTTGCGATGATGCCGATCATGGCGATGCTGGTGATGGCGAGGATCATGCGACCGCCGCTGGCGGATCTCCCTGTGGGGCCACGAAGCTTGGAGTTGTGCTGGCACTGGGAATGCGTCGCGGGGAAACAAACCAAAATTGCATGGGGAAAATCTCAGTCCGTTCCGTCTTTCATGGCTTCATCCGATCAGGGCCCGATGCCGCGTCGTTGATGATGGCGATGAAGATGATGGTCATGATGGTGCTTGCGATGATGCCGATCATGGCGATGCTGGTGATGGCGATGATTATGCGACCGCCGCTGGTGGATCTCCCTGATGGGCCACGAAGCTTGGAGTTGTGCTGGCACTGGGAATGCGTCGCGGGGAAACAAGCCAAAATTGCACACAGCCGTGACAAAAGTTTCTTCAATTTGCTATGATGAAAATCTCTCCCATCCCTCTCAATATTCCTAACGTGACATGATGCTGGGGTCATTCGGCGGAGTAGTTTCCGATCCCGGAGACGTTAACAACTCTGTTACCCCAAAACGGGATCGGAAACTACTCCGCGCCAAACTATATACGTTATCGAGCGGGATGCGATTGCGCGAGGAGTAGTTTCAGTAAAACTACTCCGAACTACTCCGCACGAGCGCGGTATTCCAAAAGGCAAATTGAAAAAAACTTTCGTCACGGCGATGTATCTAGGAAGGTGTCTTGGCACCTCGCCCTACCCCCTCCCCTGGGCCCGGAAGGGGGGGCTCCCCGAGTCGGCAGACCGCCCAACATGGACAAGATGTCTCCGAGAGGGCCCTCGGCAGCCCAATAATGGCTCAAGATAGCTCCGGATCGCTCAAGGTAGCCTCTGGCATGCCTCCCAGACATCCCAAGACAGCCCCAAGAGGGTTCAGAGTGCTCTTCGAGCCCCCAAGGCATTCCCCAAGAGGCCAACATCCTTCAAACACCCAAGGAGCATCAAGGTGTTTGGGCTCCTCGCTTTGTCGCTTCCGATGAGCCCCATGGGCCTCAGGATGGCTCCAAGACGGCCCCAGAGAGGGGCCCAAGACGGCCCCAAGAGCGCCCACGAGGCGCCCAAGACCGGCCCCAAGAGGCCATCTTGGAGCTTCCGGGGTCAGGTCAGGTCAGAACGCCTCGCACCAGACGGTGTGCAAGCAAGAGAATGTGCTTCAGCACAGAAATCACAGGTGCCATGCGCGGACTGCAGACTCCCATGCCCGCGCCGCACCGCCCGCAGGGCGGAACTCGTCAGCGAGACGGGCGGGGGTGCCAGCGATGTCCAAACAAGCATTCATTACCATTGTTCCCCACATTTGACGGAGTTTCCGGGGAAGGGGTCCACATCGGTGACCCCCCGTCTTTAACCCCCACGAGAGACAAGAGAAGCCCCAAGAGGCTCCGACCTCCTCGTCCTCCTCCTCCTCTTCCTCCTCCGTTCCTCCTCCTCCTCCTCCTCCTCCTCCTCCTCCTCCTCCTCCTCCTCCTCCTCCCTCCTCCTCCTCCTCCTCCCCCCTCCTCCCTCCTCCTCCTGCTCCTCCTCCTCCTCCTCCTCTTTTTCTTCTTTTTCTTCTTTTTCTTCTTTTTCTTATTCTCTTATTCTTCTCCTCTTCTTATTCTTCGTATTATTCTTCTTATTCTTCTTCTTCTTCTTATTCTTATTTATTATTAGTAATAGTATTAGTATTATTATTATTATTATTATTATTATTATTATGCTTCTTCTGCTTCTTCTTCTGCTTCTTCTTCTTCTTCGTCTTCTTCTTCTTCTTCTTCCTCTCCTCCTCTCCTCCTCCTCCTCCTCCTCCTCCTCCTCCTCCTCCTCCTCCTCCCCTCCTCCTCCTCCCTCCTCCTCCTCCTCCTTCTCTCTCCTCCTCCTCCTCTCCTCCTCCTCCTCCTCCTCCTCCTCCTCCTCCTCCTCCTCCTCCTCCTTTTTCGGGGCAATATGTTCATGTATGTTTCTAAAACGATCTAAACCCGCCCGGGGAAGCATTCGCAACGAGTGACGCATCCAGGGCCGCATGCAACCTCTTCCTCCCCCTCCCCCTCCCCCCCCCTCCCCCTCCCCTCTCCCCCCCCCCCCCTCCCCGACCTCCTCCTCATCCACCTCCGCCTCCTCCTCCTCCTCGTCCTCCTTCTCCATTCGGGGCACAATGACCAAACCAGATGTGTTCTAAAACCGTTCGCAAAACATCGGGGGCATGGTGGCGCAGGAGCCCCTCCCCGATAACATAACCGTGGCAGGTCAACATGTGTCGAAGAGGACCCCAAGCGAACCCCCATTGAGCCAACGCGGCGCCAAACCAACCTGTTCGACCTACCTTTTTGACGAGTCGTGCAACACACGTTCCCGCCCCCTCGCGCCCCCGAGAAATCATCCAATGCGGCTGTCGCACTATACGCTTCTAGGCTGCGCTCATCAAGGCAACTGCTCATCAAGACAATTCAGCTGGCGACCGTGTCTGGATGGGCTGGTGGGGATACTTTTTGATCGCGAACATAGCGGGAGTGCCGCGCGCCGTCCGAAAGTCGCAACGCGCTAGCTACGGCCTAAATTGCGCAAGAGGGAGAAGGACATAACAAGACAACGTCTGGTGGGGATACTTTTCCATCGCGGCCGCAAGCGAAAGCGCGGGCGGCGTCGGAAGACCGCCCGGGCTACGAGCCAACCTAATTATCAAAGTGAGCGAACGAACGGCCGCCGAAACTGCCGCCGAGGGACGCCGAGGAGCGACGCCGGGGACTGAAGGCGGAGCTGCAAGAGGTGCCAAGTGTGCCAGGCGGCTGAGTCTGGCGGGGATACTTGTCTTGCCCGCGGGCGATACGGCGCAACCGCGTGCCGTCCAAGAGCGGGGCGACGGCGCCACGATCAGAATTGGGCACCAAGCGCGCAGGAGCGAGCTACGCTGCGACTCAGAAGGCGAGGAGGAAGCTGAGGATCAGGTCCACGTGGAACGCCAAGCCGAAAAAAAAAGACCAGGAGGTGCACCAGGTCGGCGTGCAGCGCCAAAATTGCGAAGTAGGTCGAGCCCTAGTTCCCGAAGGCCACCACCGCGTAGCCGACGGGGACGATGACCACCGTCACGTAAACGAAGAGGGCGAACCGTGCAGGCGCTCAACGGAAGACTCCGGATCGCCGAGGGGGGGCCGTGAGACCGCGAGCGCGATAAAGGCGGACGTCCAAGCGAGGGGGGGACGCGACGGCGGGGGCCGCGGCGATGGAGCGAAAACAGTCTGGTGGGGATACACGAGGCGTCAAGGATTGTGAATCGGGTCGTCTTTGGCGTCAAAATCCCGATCGAACTGATCTGAATCTTCAGCCTGGGCTGCCTGAACGCATCACTCAGATCTGGCCGCAATCGAGACGCACGGGGCGCCAGACCAGCTCGACCTCACGATCCGATTCCATTCGGGAGCGGGGCGAACCGACAAGGGGTGAATCTGAACAATTCGGTGCTCTGTGGATGTACGGTGCCGTGCGGGAAGTTCCAGATGACGTGCGACGTGCCAGAGGGACGCGCCACAGAACGTGCCAGTGGACGTGCCAGGAGACGCGCCGCGCGATGTGCAGGGAGGACCCGCCATGGAACGTTCCACATACCGTCCGGGGCGACATGCGAAAGGACGTATGCACGCGTGCTTTGACCTCGGGACCACCATGTCAGATACCCGCCTGTGTGGGACGTGGTTTCAGCTCGCGGCCACCATGTTAGATACCTGCTGGGTGGCGTGAACACGTGAAGACATGCAGTTCCAGCTCGGGAGCACAATGATCGATACCCCTCTTGTGTGGCCTGGACACGTGCAAACACGTGGTTCCAGCTCGGGGCCTCAATGTTGGAGACCCCTTCTGGGTGGCCTGGGCACGTCCAAACATGTGGTTCCAGCTCGGGGCCACCATGTTAGGTACCTGTCTGGGTGGCCTGGACAAATGAAAACGCGTGGTTCCAGCGAGGGACAGGGAGCAATCATCGTAGACACCCCCCCCTCGGCGGCCTGCACACGTAAATAGAAGCCTCCTAGATGGGGTCCGAGTAGATGGGGTCGGAAGATCGCACAGCATCGCCAATACAGATGCACCGGCGACATCGACGTGAAGCACCTCGGTCTCCACATCGAGCCGCATCGGCGATGCATCGGCGATGCGGCGCGATCCTCCGACCGCATCTACTCCGACCCCATCTAGGAGACCTAGAGTAAAAGCACGTGGTTCCAGCTCGGGGCAACTATGTTCGATACCTCTCTGGGTGGCTTGGGCACGTGAAAACATGAAGATCCAACTCGGGGCCACAATGCTAGATACCCCTTCTGGGAGGCCTGGACACGTCAAAACATGTGGTTCCAGCTCAGGACCACTATGTCAGATGCCCGAGGGGAATCACCCGCCGAAGAAACCGTGTCAAATTATTGCACATCTGGTGCCGCTTTCACGTGTTTGCCTGGCCCTCGTGCGCCCCCACGCTGGGGCCCGACCACATGGTAGATCCCCTTCGTGGGCGGCTCGCACACAGAAACATACGTGGTTCCAGCTCGGGGCAGCCATGTTAGACACCCCTTTGGCTTTGGAACCCCGGAAGCCCCAACTGCCCAGGATATCCTCGGAGAACGACGGAATCCCCCGAACAGTGCACTCACCACGAGCCCCCACAGGCGCACCACACGGTGTGGTCACCGCACCATTGGCGGACCCCTGGGGCGCGCGGACCGCACGCCACCAGCAAGAGGCAAGCCTCGAGCTGGTGGTCCAGTTCAGGCATAGGGAGCCCGCCCGTGCCCATCAGGGCAGAATGCCCACTGGCCGCTCCCTGGGGCTAAGTCTTGGAGGGTTCGTCCTCGCTGCGGGCACGCACAACCAGCGAGCACGCACGCATGCCTGAGGTGACCTGGCCACGTGGCTGGCATTCGCTGAGAAGGAAGCGGGCGCGCAAGGAGGGAGGGGAGGGGAGAGCCGAGAAGGGTCGGAAGACGAGCCCGCCACTCCTTCGCTGCTGCTGCTGCTGCTCCTCCCTTGGGCGAGGAGGAGGAGGAGGAGGAGTAGGAGGAGGAGAGGGAGGAGGAGGCGGAGGAGGAGAAGGATGAGGATGAGGAGGAGAAGGAGGAGGGGGAGGAGGAGGAGGAGAAGGAGGAGGACGAGGAGGAGGAGGAGGAGGAGGAGGAGGTCGGACAGCGTGCCACTCCTTCGCTGCTGCTCGAAGGCCTGGCGTTGCTTCGACAGGCAGCTCGCTGCCGAACTCCCCACGGCGGCACGCCACCGGTGCCGTGCTGGCCCCCCGCGTTGGGGCCCCGCCCCCCGAGAGGCGGGCGGCGGCGGGAGAGCCCGCGGTGGGGAAGCCCAAGAGTGAAGGGGCCCTGGGACACACAAATAAATATACACACAAATAAACATATGCTCCATATTTTCCCATATTCCTAGGGGTGTTCGTCTTCCCCCCCGCTTCCAATATTTTCCCATATTTTCTGGGGAATCGACGATCAATTGTGTCTCTCGCTTTCTTTTCCTCCCGAAAGAGGTGCCGACACCGCTGCGCCCCAGACCTGTCCCGGGGCGCGCTCGGACCAGGACCTCAAGGCGAACGCGGCGGTGGTGGCGAGGGCCTCCCAGGCGGCCTCAGAAGGCAAACGCGAGGCAAGGGGTGGCAGTATGGGCACAGCCGCCGCACGCGGCGGAGGCCGTCCGCCGTGCCCCCGCGCCCCCCGCCGCCCCCCCCCCTCGCGGCCAGGAGGAGGAGGAGGACGACGAGGGGGGGGGGGGCGGAGGAGGACGAGGGGGAAGGGGGGGGGGGGAGGACGAAGAGGACGAGGACGAGGGGCCTCCATGGCCTTGGCCGGGAACAGCGGGTGCACGCCGCTGCCCCAGGAGAAGCCCTTCTGCTCCGCCTGGCGCGAGGGGGGCGCGGCGGGCGGCCGGGACGAGGCGTCCCCGAGGCGACGGCGGACACTGCATCTCGGGCCGGCTGGGGGGGGGGGGGGGGAAGAGGAGGAAGAGAAGGAGGGGGAGGAGGGGGAGGAGGAGAGGGAGGAGAAGGAGGAGGAGGAGCAGGAGGAGGAGCAGGAGGAGGAGGAGGAGAAGAGGGAGGAGGAGGAGGAGGAGTGGAGGAGAGGAGGAGGGAGGAGGAGGAGGAGGAGAAGAGAGAGGAGGAGGAGGAAGAAGGAGGAGAGGAGGAGGAGGAGGAGAAGAGGAGGAGGAGGAGGAGGAGGAGGAGGAGGAGGAGGAGGGCGACGACGACGACCAGTCCCCCCTTGGAGCGTCCCAACGGCGACGTCGGAGCGGTGTTCGCGTGCGGGCGCCTCGCCGTCGCCGCAGCCGCCGCCGCCGCGGCTGGGGGGCCGTGGTGGGGCGTCACTGGCTCCAGTGGCGAGTCGGCGGCGCGCACGGGGGGGAAGTGAGAAGGAGAAGGCCTTCTCTAAAGGGGCCCTGGGACACACAAACAAATACGCACAAATCCCAGGATTCCCCTGTATTTTCCAAGATCTTCTGGGTTTTCGTCGTCCCCCCCACTTCCCATATTTTCATGTGGATCGACAATTAATTGTGTCTGTGTGTTTCCACTCCTGATTCTCAGGTAGCGGCGGGACTTTTCAGAAACCCGGAGCGGCTTTCTTCGTCTTCGGGGAGGCTGAAATACCTTCTCAAAAATTAAGGGGTCGAAGGGGGGAAACACGCCTGCGCGGATTTCTTGGATTCGCTTGGATTCTTGGATTCGCTTGGCCTCCCCGGCGGCGCCAGGGCGCCGCCGGGGAGGCCCAGCGCGGATCCAAAAAATCCGCGCGGAGCGCCAGACGTTCATGTTTATGGCGTTTTTTCTTCTTCGGCCCCTGGCCTTCTGAGATGGTCTCTAAGCCTTCCCCGAAGACGAAGAAACCCTCTCAGAAGCTCAGAAGCCCGGAGGCATTCTGAGAAGTGCCGCCGCCTCCCGAGAAGGCCTTTTCCTTCTCCCTTCCCCCCCTCGTCCGCCGCCAAGCTAGGGCGGGGGAGAGGCACCACTCTCCGTCTGTCTCTCTGGGCGAGCTACCACGGGTCGCGTTCCCTGTCTCCGTCAGAGCCGCCCACCCTCTCTGGGCGGGGATCGGACGCCGGATGTTGCCCCCCTTCTCCTTCTCCTGACTGCTCTTGCCAGTGCCCATCCGCGGAGCAGGCCTCACAGCCGCGTCCAAGCTGCATGGCAGCAGCCTGTCAGGAAAAAAGAAATCGCACGGGCACACACTCTCGAAGATCCGCGCGGACTTTGTCGATCGGCGCTGGACCCGCGCGCCGTGCATGGATGTCCAGCGCCGATGCAAGACGAGCGCGGACCTCCGAAGGCATATGCGTGTACAGCTTCTTCTGATGAGGTTGGTGGTCCTGAACAGTTGACGATTCCTATCGTTACTGATTTACTGTTAGAATGTTAGAAACGTGGTGGGGTTACGCGAAGCGTGGAGAATTGTCATTCATTATGATGACGACTCTTACCATTATGAGCGATTCGACATTGGGCGGAAGGGGGGGGGAGGGGGGGGGATTGGGCGGGGGGCCCAGCGCGGATCCAAGAAATCTGCGCGGAGCGCCAACAAGTTTATGTTTATGCCGTTTGTTCTTCGGGTCTCAAGACGGCAAGGTGACCTCGGAATCCCCGAAGGTCTCGCTGCACAACAACCCGCGAGAGGTGGAAGAAACGAAACATCGAGGGGTCTCGGGAGACTAAACGGTACCGATGCCGCTACTCCCCGGACTTCTCCTGGGGTACGTTCTGACCAGGACTTCGAGGCGAATCCAGCGGTGGCGACGAGGGCCTCCCGGGAGGCCCAAAGAGAGGGAAAGCGAGGCAAGGGTAGGGGTATGGGTAGCCTTTCCTCATCTGACTCAAGACGGTGGGGCGACCTCGGAATCCCCGAAGGCCTCGCTGCACGGCCCGCCACCGCGCGGCCTTTGATAGGGAAGCGAACTCTATACACCGACGCCTTTCCCGACCCTGCGCTGAAATTCGCACAGGAACGCGGATTCTTTTTTTACGCGCAAAACGTATGGCGGGCCAGTGTTTCTCTCGTTTGCTCTTCTGGCCCCTTCTCCCTCCTCCCCACTTGCGTCGGGCACCAGTGCGAGTCCCACCATTTTGAACCAGTGTGGGCTACGCACGCGCGAGTTTTCATTCCAGCCGCGATCGCATTGAGGCATCGGCACGCCAGACGCGGGAACGCGGATTCTGGTGTATACGGGATCCTGGTGTATACATTTTCGTTGATTCCCTTGGAGAAGGGGGGACAAATGTACGCCACACCACCCCGACGTCATCCCTGATCATCAAAAAGTCGTGGGATTGAAAAACAGCCTGCCACTGGTAATTCCCCAATCAGAGCTTGCCTCTGTAAGGGTCCTAGCGGATTAATATGGTTAGGTTAGGTTTGCCGCCGATTTTCGCCGCACGCCCGGGTGCCCGGGTGCCCGGGGGTGCCCGGGGGGGTGCCCGGGGGTGCCCGGGTGCCCGGGGGTGCCCGGGTGCCCGGGTGCCCGGGCGTGCCCGGGCGTGCCCGGGGGTGCCTGGGGGTGCCCTATAGCCCTATAGCCCTAAAGCCCTATAGCCCAATAGCCCAATAGCCCTACAACTCTATAGCCCAATAGCCCTACAGCCCTACAACTCTATAGCCCTATAGCCCCCTAGCCCTAAAGCCCTGATTGGGGTTTTGCTCCGGTACCGTGCAGATGTTCTGGTTTCCGATATGGAGCCTCGGCGAGGCCCCGGGGCTGCCCCACGGCCGCAGAAGAGCCCCTGGAAGTCGTGCGCCCGCCCCGAGCCCCCGCGGACCTGCCGCGCGGGCGGGGTCCAGAGCCCCCGCGGGCGGACCCCTGGGACGAGACAGTGGGGCTCGGCGGCACGCAGGTGCGCGGCCAGCGAGAATGGCCAGGGGTGGGCCGAAGGGACAGGGATGCAAAGGCAACCTTGGAGCATCGCTCATCCTTCCGATCAAGGTCGACTGTACGCCAGAGGTGGTCCAGGTGCGTTGCCGACTCCAGGAGGAGCCCAGGAGGCGCCGAGCGAGGCGGCCCACGAGCCCACCTAAAAAAAGGAGCCCGTCAACAAAGAGCCCTGGTCGGGAGCCTGGGCTGTGCGGAACAGACGGGCCCTCGATGAGCCATCGCTTGTCTAGAGCAGCCCAGGGAGACACAACAAATAGACACAAGTTCCAGGATTCCCAAGATGCTTCCATAGTTGTTTGATGTTCGTCTTCCCCGCCCACTTCCCATATTTTCCAACATTGGCATAGACATCGACGTTTACTTATGCCTGTGTTGATTTGTCCCTCCTGGTTATCGCAAGGCGTAAGACTGTCAGCAAACGAGAACAGTTGCTCACGATACGCGGATCATTTTTTCACTCGTCGCCCCTGCGGGGCTCACGGTGGTGTGCGACGAGATACAGAGGTCGCGCACCCAACACCTAAACTCTCTCCGCCGTCACGATCGTCGCCGCCGCGCGACAACAACCGCAACCGCTGCGCCCGCCGCGGCACCCACCGCCAACCCGAGCCCAAACGCTCCCGCGACGGAGCCCCTGCCTGCGCGCGACGGTGCCGCGTCGGCCGTCGGCGCGGCATCCGCCAGAGAGGGCGCCGAAGACAGGGGCAGCTGCTTCTGCGCCGCGCCGCTCAGAGCTGGCTGCATCGACTTGGCAAAGTCGGAGGTGCCCCTGTTGCGCTCGTAGTCGCTGTTGATGGGCCTATTTTCCACCACCACTACCATAGGTAGGAGAGAGAGGAGGAGGAGGAGGAGGAGGAGGAGGAGGGAGGAGGAGGAGGAGAGGAGGAGGAGGAGGAGGAAGGAGGACGAGGAGGAGGAGCAGGAGGAGCAGGAGGAGGAGGAGGAGGAGGAGGAGGAGAAGAGGAGGGGGGAGGGAGGAGGAGGGAGGAGGAGGAGGAGGAGGAGGAGGAGAGGGGGAGGAGGAGGAGGAGGAGGAGGAGGAGGAGAGAGGAGGAAGAGGAGGAGGAGAAGGAGGAGAGGAGGAGGAGGAGGAGGAGGAGAGAAGAGGGAGGATGAGGGAGGAGGAGAGGAGGAGGAGGAGGAGGAGGAGGAGGAGGAGGAGGAGGAGAAGGATGAGGAGGAGGAAGAGGACCTCCTCATCCTCCCTTCTCCCCCGTCCTACATATCGTAGCGGTGGCAGAGAATTTGCCCATCAGCTGTACGACGAGACGAGCCGCGCTCGGCACACCAGCGTCGCCGATACCGCCGGATGTGCCTCGACCGCCGCCCACCACGCGGCCATGCGCTCGAAGGGCGGCTCGTCTGCGGGAGGCTCAGAGGTCGGCACCCACACCAACATCGGCGGTTGCCTCCACCGGAAGAGTATCGGGGAACGAACAATGGCATAAGCATAATAACTCGGAGGCCCGCGCGGATTTCTCGGATTGGCGCTAGGGCCCCCTGGCGGCGCCTTCGGCGCCGCCCCTGGGGCGCTCCGCGCGCCAGGGAGGGGGGTCCAGCGCGAATGCAAGAAATCCGCGCGGACCTCCGAGATGTGTGTGTGTATATGTAATTTTCTGTTCCCCTAAAGAAAAGAACATGATCTTGATCTCGGTGATAGTGCCAAGATTCGGCCTTAGTAGATGGCCGGAGGATTGCCACCAGCACTGATATCTAGCATCATCTCTTCCCCGGTGGAGAAACCTCCCTGTGCTGATGCTTGTGCCCATTTCTAGGCTTCCAGGTCTGGGAATGCGAGGCCGCGGTAGTGCGAGCCAACCCAGATGTAGCGCTGCCAGAACGGCGCGAGCGCGACCTCGAACAACGAGAACTGCGCGCCCAAGAAGAATGGACCCGACGCGGCGGGCGCCATCGCCGCCGCGAGCGCGCGCACGCCATCGAGCATCTTCGCCTGGGCAGCCTCTCTCCGCGCGGGCTCCTGCTCCATCAGCAGCGTGTAGTACGGCTTCTGGATGTGCTCGGCGCAGTGCGCTATCCAGATGCGTACGCTCGCGCGGGCGAGGGCGCTGCCCCTCGGCGGGAGCAGCGGCGGGCCGTCGAACTTCTCGTCGATGTACTCGCACAACGGAAGCGAATCGGACAGAAGCTCGCCGTACGCGTCCATTGCCGGGACGAGTCCTCGCGGCGACGCGGCTACGAAGTCAGGGTAACGCTGGCGCTTCACCTCGATAGTCGGCGACTGCGAAGGGTGTGATTTGCAGTGGGTGTGGTTTGCCCCCAGCACCCTGGGGGGCACCCTGGGGGGCGGGCGGGGACCTCGACAGAGTTCTCCGCCATGCCCCGACGAGGCCCGACGTGGACAGCGTCGTGCCCCGCCAAGCCCAAACGCCGCCGATCGCAAACCACACCCAAGCGTAACCGTACCCTCTGTAGTCGCCGAGATAGGCAACTGGCGCTTCGTGTAGCCGCCGGGCTCGCGCTCGTCCAGCTCGTACGGCTCGATCTCGACGTACTGGTGGTCGAGGCCCTTGGCCTCGCAGGCGATCCACGCCCGCTGCGCAAACGGGCAGAACCAGCTGCAGTAGAGCCTGACCCGCTTGCGCGAGCTCCGACTGCGCACGGTCTTCTCGCCCGCCGCCTCCAGAATGATGAGAAGCTGCGCAGGCACAATCATTCGGAGGGCTGCGCGGACTTCTTGGATCGGCGCTGACCCCCTCCCTGGTGCGCGGAGCGCCCGGGGGGGGTGGGCGACAGAGGCGCCGCCACAAGTGCCCAGCGCCGATCCGAGAAATCCGCGCGGATCTCCGAAAACTTGTTTACGCAGCTGTTGTTCCTCTAGATTTGTTGGTATATAGCACACTCCCCGCCCCAGTCAGATTCCACCGCCCAGGGTAACGTCTAGCATACAAAGACCACGCCACAGGGACAATTTTCCCCAATTAGGCTTGCCTTATAAAGGGTTACTACTTGGTTAAAGGCTGGTGCCTCCTATTGTTACTTTGCCCGTTGCTCGGAGGTTCCTTGGGTTCCGCGCCCCTGGTGCCTCCTAATGTTACGTTGCCCGTTTCCCAGAAGCCCCTGGGTTCCCCTGGTTGCTCGGGTTCCCCAAATTCCTTGGGTTCCCCGGGTTCCTCGGGTTCCCCGGGTTCCCAGGGTTCCCCGGGTTCCCCGGGTTCCTCGGGTTCCCCGCCCCCGGTGCCTCCTATTGTTACTTTGCCCGTTCCCCCAGGGTTCCTCGGGTTCCCTGGGTTCCTCGGGTTCACCGCCCCCAATGCCAAGCACTGCCAAGCACTGCCAAGCAATGCCCAGCAATGCCAAACAATACCAAGCAATGCCAAGCAATACCAACCCAAGCCAAACGATGCACCCAGAGCTGCGACCATGCAGTACGCTTTCCCTTAATTGGGGTCGCGCGGGGTTGACTTGTGTACAAACCCACAACTAGGACTCGCCCTCCCCCCAGGGCTCCGAGAGGGCCGAACGGTCATTTGTAGTCCCTGGGCGCGTGGCTGAAGTGGGGTTCTGCAGTCAAAATTGCTGTTTGCGTAGTAGTCGTAGTAGTAGTAGTAGTAGCAGCAGCAGCAGTAGCAGCAGCAGCAGTGGTAGTAGTAGTAGTAGTAGTAGTAGTAGTAGTAGTAGTAGTAGTAGTAGTAGTTAGTCGTAGTCGTAGTCGTAGTCGTAGTCGTAAGCGTAGTCGTAGTCGTAGTCGTTTTCGTAGTAGTAGTAGTAGTAGTAGTAGTAGTAGTAGTAGTAGTAGTAGTAGTAGTAGTAGTAGTAGTAGTAATAGTAGTAGTGGTAGTAGTAGTGGTAGTCGTAGTGGTAGTCGTAGTAGTAGTAGTAGTCGTAGTAGTAGTAGTAGAAGTAGTAGTAGTAGTAGTAGTAGTAATCGTAGTAGCAGTAGTAGTAGCCGTCGTCGTACTAGTAGTGGTAGTAGTGGTGGTAGTGTGTATAGTGTAGAAGTCCGTATAGTAGTAGTAGTAGTAGTAGTAGTAGTAGTAGTAGGTAGTAGTAGTAGTAGTAGTAGTTAGTAGTAGTAGTAGTATCGTCGTAGTAGTAGTAGTTAGTAGTAGTTGCTAGTAGTAGTAGCAGTAGTAGTAGTAAGTAGTAGTAGTAGTAGTAGTAGTAGTAGTATAGTAGTAGTAGTAGTAGCCTTCGTAGTAGTAGATAGTAGTACAGTAGTTGTAGCAGTAGACGAAGTAGTAGTAGTAGTATAGTACGTAGTAGTAGTAGTAGTATAGTCGTAGTAAAGTAGTAGTAGTAGTAGTAGTAGTAGTAGTAGTGTAGTAGTAGTAGTAGTAGTAAGTAGTAGTAGTAGTAGTAGTGTAGTAGTCTCGTAGTATCGTAGTAGTTGTAGTAGTCGTAGTAGTCGTAGTAGTCGTAGTCGTAGTAGTAGTGTAGTAGTAGTAAGTAGTAGTAGTAGTCGTAGTGTAGTAGTAGTAGTAGTAGAAGTAGTAGGTAGTAAGTAGTATTAGCAGTAGTAGTAGTAGTAGTAGTAGTAGTAGTAGTAGTAGTAGTAGTAGTAGGTAGTAGTAGTAGTAGTAGTAGTAGGTAGTAGGTAGTAGGTAGTAGGTAGTAGGTAGTAGGTAGTAGGTAGTAGGTAGTAGGTAGTAGGTAGTAGGTAGTAGGTAGTAGGTAGTAGGTAGTAGGTAGTAGTAGTAGTAGTAGTAGTAGTAGTAGTAGTAGTAGCAGCAGTAGTAGTAGTAGTAGTAGTAGTAGTAGTAGTAGTAGCTGTTGTCGTTGTCGGTGCTGCTGTTGTTGTATGTGTAGTTGTAGTTGTGGTTGATGTTATTGTAGTTGTTGCGTTGTTATTATTGTTGTGTTGATGTCGTCGTCGCGAACCACCCACCCACCCTGGCGACACACCAGGCGACCCGCACGCGATCCACCCGCGACCCACCCACATTGCTTTGACGAAATTTCGTTGCTTGCGGCGGGTTTCTTCGAAACCTTGAAAACTGCCAACGAGTTCGCCGCCCCCTCACTTTTATTCGCAACTGCGGGGTGCTACGATACTCGCCAATGGGAAGAAATACGTGGAAACGTGAAGTCGGACAACGGAAAAAATTAATTGGATTCGGGCCCGCCCAGAAAAAACTTGTCGACTTCTGAATTCGGAAGGCGCCTGAAATAGATTGGGATCTGGGGATTCCCAAATACCTACTTCCAACGACCGGTGTGTATCCATTTTTGTCGAGCGGATTATCTTCTTCGAAGTCTGCTCGCCCGCCGCCTCGGCCCACTCCGGATGCCACAGCCGGTGCGCGGCATGCTGCGCAGAGGTTGGCCACGTGGGTGTCGGCTCCTCCTGCGCCTCCCCGGCGTTCAGCTGAGGCTGCGG